AACAAGAAAATTACACAACATTTGCATTACGTTTCATTATTTCAGTTGTTCAAGATAAACTGTAATATTTTTATAATATTAACTAATTTATTCTTAGATTGAGTAAAGAGAATATCTTTTTTTTTTTTTGGTACCAGGGATTGAACTCGGGTCCTTGAGCTTGCGCAGCAGGTGGCGAAACCACTGAGCTAAATCCCTGGCCCTAAAGAGAATATCTTTAAGAGAATTTTTCTTTTTTCTTTTTTTTGTACTGCTGGGGATCAAACCCAGGGCTTAATGCATGCTGGGCAAATGTTCAACCACTGAACAACACCTTTAGCTCAAGAATTTTAAAATATATGAGTATTACATACTACATATGTATTATAAATCTCTCTGGAATTTCTGATTATTTTGATAAAGAAAAGCACACAAAAGGATTATCCCACTGGTTTTTAAAATTGTGAGATACATATTTCATATAGAATACAATTTAACTCCAGCAATAACTTTTAAACTCCAAGATTACACAAACTGGAGCAAAATTTAGAAACAAATGATCACCTCAGCCAACAAAGTATATGGAATATTTTGACCAATGCCTCAAAATTTAAAGCTATGTTGACAGGATCCTTTTTAATCATCTATCCATATGTAAGCCAAGAAATAAATGCACTTCTAAAACATCACTGAAGAGCCACGAGGATGAACTGGATTAAATCTGATGTTTTCTGGTTGGATTTGGATCTTCATTACTAGTATCATTCTCCTGTCAAGAACATTTCACCATGGTGACTAGAATAACTACAAACGTGTGAGTGAGGCTTGTTGATTTCAGATATTAACTTTGTATTTTCTTATAGGTACATTCATGGATAAAGTATTAATGTTGCATTTTAAATTCCAATAATCAAATTCAAAACATGGTCTCCAACTTTAGAATGCTTCAACTTCGTGATTTGGGGGCTACAATAGAGCAAAAAAGTACCAGTACAACTATCCCGTTTTTCATTTCATTACAGCATTCAATACATACCAGCTGTTCAGCACTTTATTATAACATAGGCTTTGTGTTAGGCGATGTTGTTCAACTGCAGGCCAATCTAGTGTTTTGAGCACATGGAAGATAGGATAATAGAAACCATGATTTTAGGTAGGTTAGGTGTATTAGATTCATCTTCAATTCACGATAGGTCTATCAGAGCATAATCCCATTGTCCATTGAGCACCATCACAAATTGGATATTTTTCATTTCCCTCACTCTAGACTATCAGACCATGTCATCGTAGGGAAATTCTGTCAATAAGGTTGGTTATATATATCCAACTTTTACTAAGTATCATCAGCTTTTTTCTTTCATGCAAGTTTACAATTTTATCCTACTGTTCTTTGCCAGGCCTTTTTTTTAAATCATGAAAGTTGTTTTTATGACCAACTTGATGATGAGTGTTGGTCATTACTCAGTGCTAAAAGGCAGATGCTGCTTCTGAAACACAGGAAACAGACATTCTTCCCCAGACACTTGCTTTCTAATACATGCAGGAAATATGCAGCAGAAGTCAAGACTTCTTTGATGACCTTCTAGTTTTCTCCTTACTGATTTCTCCTTTCATACTAAGATCACTATGGTAAACTGCTTCAATGAATAATTTATCTACTAGAAAAAGCAGAAGCTCAAGCAATAAACCCATCTTAATTGAGATCTATGATGATGTCAACAGCTAAAAAAAAAGTTTGCATTCGACAATAATAAATACATTTTTTCCAGTGCCACAAGACAGATATTTTAATATTGACTTGCTATGCTTTGCAATGTGAAAATATTCTCATTCCTAGGAAATAATTTTCTGGATGCAGGAAATAACTGTGCCCAGTTTTGAATTTTTTCCATTAGCTGAGATAACAGAATCACCAACTGCTAGTTGTCAGAGCCAAGGATTAAACTCCATCCAAGAAGCTAGACTAGCACCTGATTTTAGGTAGGTCAGGTGTATTAGATTCAGCTAATACACAGCACAGGTGTACAGCACAGTGGTAGAGTGCTTGCTTAACATGCATGAGTCTCTAGGTTCAATCCCTGGCAACACACAGACATGCAAACAAGCTGGGAAATTGGCTCTGCATTCTGATGTGCAGAAATAGAACTTTACTGACTGTAGAGACAGTATATGTACTATGAAAATGGGGCTCTGTCAGATCACTCCATTCATTCAATGTTCACATGAAAACAAAAACATCTAGGGCTGGAGATGTAGCTCAGCAGATTGTTTGGCTACCATGTTCCAGGCCCTGGGTTTATCCTTAGAACAGAAGGAAAAAAAGGAAAAAACCAACACAACTTCCACATATTTTTGATGTTTAAAATAAAATATTTCATACCAAGTATTAACTGTTTTTGCTTGTTTTGGCAGTTCTGGATATTGAACCTAGGGAACCCTTAGCTACATCCTTCACCTTTTTTATTTTTATTTTTAAATTTTGAGACCAGGTATCACTAAGTTGCCCATATTGGCTTTTGACAACTTCCAATCTTCTTGCCTCAGTCTCCTTAGTAGTTGGGATTACAGGTGTGCACTACCACACAAAAAGCATTAACTTTTTTATCTCCATGGTATAGGGTGGCTTTTAACATGCATTAAGTAAAACACAAATGTGTACACACACACACACACACACACACACACACACTATACACCAATGATGACAATATCTAAAGCATTTTCCTGAGAAGACATGAAGATGTGAGAGAAGTTTCAGTATAGGGCTCAGCCAACTTGTCATAAAATAAGAGATTCTCAAATATGATTTCTTTTTTCATGCAACAAATGTGGTTGGAGAATAGGAATCCAATTCTGGGATTATACTAGCTGCCTCTACTCCCTAAAGTTCTACGAGTTTATCATTTTATGAATTCCTTTAGTGATTCTTTCCATAAATAAGCTGTCCCCTGGGAGCAGTTTTTGGGAAGTTGGGTGTATTCTTTCAGAACACCAGTAGTCTATAAAAGAACCTGATTACTGACCACTGACCTTGAGCCTGCACCCATTAGCTAAGCAGGTAACCTAAAAATGATGGGTGTTTTTCTACCATACACATGAACCAGTCACCTTCATCGTGAAGGGGCAGTTCATCCATACTGTCCCTTTTAAACAAATTTGTTTTGTTTATAGTTTGTTTGTTGAGACAGAGTTTTACCGTGTAGCCAAGACTGGCCTCAAACTCAAAATCCTTCTGCCTCAGTTTCCCGCATGCTGGGATTATGGGTGTATACCACCATGCCCAGCTTTCCAGTGAAATGTTTTTCATTAAAAATCTTGCCCTCTACATTTTAGGAAGCATTTCTAATACTTGTAAGGCACAGTCTTTCTTATCCCATATTGCTATCTCCATACACATAAATTTTCTTTGGGTCATGACTTCCCAACTTTTTCATCATTCATTCCTGTCCTCTACCAGAGAACTTAAAATGTTGGAAAAAAAAAAAAAAAAGGCAGAGTAAGAAAATAGCTGGGGGCTAATCAGACTCTAAATTCTTTTTACATAGCTATAAGTAAGGGAGGATGCAATGTAATTTCTCTGTTTTTCCAGTACCAGGGATTGAACCTGGGACCTTTTGCTTGCAAGCCAAGTGCTCCACCACTGGGCTAAATCCCCAGCCCAGGGTCACTTCTTTTTGATGTGTGAGGACTCTCAACATCTTCCCTCCCCTCTCCTCTCCTCCCCTCTCCTCCCCTCTCCTCCCCTCTCCTCCCCTCTCCTCCCTTCCCTCCCTGCCTCCCCTCCCCCTCCTCTCCTCCTCTCTCCCCCTTCCCTCCCCTCTCTCTTTCCTCCTGGAGATTGAACCCAGGAGTTCCAGCATGCTAGGACAGTGCTCTACCACTGAGCTACACCCTCAGCCCCTCCCACCATGTTCTTAAAGAGCAGAAAAACACATTGGTCAGTTGAGAGCCTTCCACAGAAAGCATTTCAAAAGAATGAATCACAAGATGTCTCTTTCACCAGAAGTATATTATTTTTTAGTACACTTGAAATTTTAAATGTGTACAAATTCAGGGATTTAGAAACTTCAAAAGCCACAGACACAGAGTTTAGGAAGCAGAAGGCTGGGAGCCTCCCTCCTCAGTTAATCCACGCCTTATTTTGCATTCCTCACAGGTGAGCAAGCAGTGCCTACAAAAGAAGCAGAAATAGGGAGTGGTTTGCACACAGACAATGCAAACTCTAGTCTTTTTTTTTTTTTT